TTATGACAGTGACCAGGGCTCAGTCTGTCATTTAAAGAAGCCACTCAGTCATCCTGATTTCTGACAAGATAAATCAATTATGACGGTCTGCTCTTAAGTGTTAATGTAATATAACTTGCTGCAGACTCTCCTGTGGAAGTCTTCTCTTACTTAGTTTATAAATAAATGTTCACAGTAGGGAAAAAATATTGACTTTGAGTTGTTTGAAATTCACTTTGCTTCTAACAAGTGTATTTTATTTTGCATGTACCTTTGCACCCTTTTTTTCCTCTGCAAACAAAAGCAGACTTTGTCCCACCAGTGGCTTTTCAGTCAAATCAGAAAGACCAAAGCAACTCTTCTATTGGTAACTTTTTCTTCTAAGGTCTCAGCCATTTAAGTATTTACACAATAAATACTTAATTTACATTTAAGTATTTACACAATATCTCACAAATTTAAGTATTTATCTGTTGACTGCTTCAAACTGACAGCTAAGAACAGATGTCATTGTGGGATGAAGTGTAGCTATAAGACTGTGTCTGAAAGCCAGTGCAATCCATTATGTCAGGCCATAATCTGCCAGGATCTGATCTCAGCTGTRCCAGGGTAAACAAGTTGTTATTCCAGCCAGTCAACAAAATTGCACAGGTAGGGTTGTGCAAACTCAGCTGTAACTCTGGTGTCTCTGTTCTGTAACCTCAGCCTGGGAAAAGAGAAAACAGTATCTGTGAAAATTATTTGTTCCGAATTCAAAAAAAAAAAACCAAACCAACAAACAAACAACACCCCCAACTAGAAATGCACCCATGTTACATACACTATGAAAATACCAGCAAAAAACACAGGTCAGATTAGAACTGGGTTAAATCTGTTTCAGTGTAATTTCTTTCTTTCATGTATATTTGCTTGAAAGAAGGCTGTAATCCATTGTTACAATACAAGGAAATCCTTCACAATTGCAGCTGAACTTGTACATCATTTTTTCCTAYAAACCCTCAAAGAGAAACTGTCAAGAATGGCTGAAGTGACTCATATCACCCCTTTCACTTCTAGCATGCTAATCTACTACCTGCAAAGTATTGCAAGATCRTTAAAATTCACCAACAATCAACTGAGAATGAAGATACAAACAGTAAGTACTGTGCAAAACTCTTTTCCATGTAATTTGGTGGGTCTTCAGTAAAGCCTAATTAAATCTCTAAAATCACTTCTAGTGTTTCACAATGTCAAACAAATGTATTTTTCATCCTTACACAGCAGGGGATTTACTCTCTAATCCATAAAAATTTACTGCTTCTCACTCTTCTGAATGTATTTTAGGAAAGAACTGAAGATAAGAAAAAGGTGGTTCAGATGGCAGTAGGTAAGCTGGTGACCTTTACAAATGYCACTATTAATAAATMATTTGAATKTAAACCCATTTTGATTTCTCAGACATATAGGGAAGTACAACTACATTTATAAAACTGTATTTCCTGTAGAATCCTCCTTTTAGATGGTTCCTGAGCTCAGTTTGGCTTAATCTTGGCAACACTGAAAGACATGATCTATAGTCTAAACCTGAATTCACCTGGAATCTTGGGACTGGGTATTTTCCTGCTTTTACAGTCAACAGGGTGGAACCTGGAAGGCATCTTTGGGGATTCAAATTTGCATGCAATTCAGAGGCTGGTAGGCAGAAGGAAACTTGGCTTGTTGCCCGTTTTGGAATCCTTCAGTGCAATATCCATGTTTTTCTCTGTCCCCAATGCTCCATCTGCCATGTACTGTAGTATAAAGATCCATCTCTTTAGCACCAAGTCCTCCAGTGTTAAAGTTTCCCTTTTCTGAACACAGGGGGTTCTGTTGGCCTTGGATCCCTGACTGAAGAGGGAATTCAAGCCATTGCATTTACACAGCAGTTTCTAATTGTAGAGACCTGGATAGTTCCTGTAYCAATTTCTGTTTTCTAGCCAGAATCCAAAATCTGGATGCTAATGACAAAAGACCAGAGCAAGAAACTGATATTATCAGCCACGAGTCTTCTGTTCGGTCCTCAACACCCCGAAAGAACGGCAGTGTCTTGAACTTTGAATCTCCCGTGAGCAAAGGCACCAGAATACAAACAATTTCCCAGTCTGTGCCCCAAACTGTGCCAACAACTGATGTTGTGAGACCTGCCAACRCAACTCCCACAGCTGCGACCTCTTTAACACCGGCTCCATCTGTATCAAGTGCACAGAAACCAAGAAATGATCATATCACAAACAGGTAAGACTGCTTTGGTTTTGAAATGGTATTTATTCTGGCAGCTCCATGCAATAAATACCTGTTTATTTACAAAACAACTGTGCATTCACTGTCTGGAGCTGTAAAACAGCAGAGGAATTTTTTAAAAGCAGGTTCATTGATTCATTCATTCATTGCTGGTGACACCACCTCCTTAACTCTCCTTTAATTGAGATGGGRTTATAAATCTTTGGAAATTATGTAGCTGATGGAGTTTACACACAACTCAGGCAAAGGTGAATACTAAATTTGCCCTCAGGCACACAACTAAAACAGTTTGTGCAAGATACCATTTCCATGAACAAAACAAAGAGCAAAGGAATTCTCTGCAGAATACCTGAGGGATTAGTTGTAGGACAACTAGTCTGGGATATCAGTAGATGGATGTTTTAAGCTATCTTTTGGGTTTTTTTTCCAAGTGGATAAAGAACATTTCTCAGAACAGTAAGAAAACAGGGAATTTACCTGAAGAGGACAATTGTGTTACCTTTTCCTAGAGAAGACCAAATATATCTCACAATTTCTAGGATACGTTTCTCAAAATGGTTGTGAAAATTTGAAACAGTGGAGATATGATGATCTCCACTCTTTCAACCTAGTGTTTGGCTTCCAGAACAGTGATTTTTTTAAAAATATTTTTCAATTCCATTAATTGATAAGAGTGTATATCAGCATTTCCTCTCCTTTTCTTCCTTCTTGAAGATATCCAARTGTTGTTCATAGGAGTGCAAGTGAGCTCTGCAAAACAAAGCCCTACACCCCAGTGACTTTCAAAAAGCATACTGAAGATGTTCATTCCGACCCTCTCTTCAGAAAAGCCATTCGGCAGGTAAATTCGGATAACCTTGGGGCAGGRGCTCCTGTTTTTTTGGGATGTAGACCATATGCCACCAGGTATTTTCTGGTTAATGAAAAGGAATCCCGCAAAAAATCGCTCCGTTCTGCCTCCCGACTCCAAAGGCATTTCAGAAAGGAGGAACCAGGAGACATTATTGAGTTGTACCCACGCCACGTCAGGAGATACGTGGTTCGAACACCACATGACATGTATTCCCCTCATCCCAGTGAAGATGAGGAGGATGAAGAAGAGCTTGAGAGAGAATTCATGAACAGATCCCATCGCCCTCGCTCCCTGTCTGACCTTCGCCCAGCACCATGGTTTTACATTGGGGAACGTGCTGATGGCCACGTTCTAATGAGCAAAGATCTCGCCAGAGTGCATTACAAATCCTGGGATGATGGTTTTGAGCTGGACCTGGACAGGCCTCCATATGCTTACAAGAAAGTGCACCTGAACCACCCTGAGCCACGTGTGAAACCAAAATCAAAGCAAAAGCTGGAGCAATCTCTAACAGAGTCTGACTCCATTTCCATTGAATCCAGCAGTGATCCGCAGAACAGCAGCAATGACCAGTACATCCAGGTCATTCACAGCAAGGACAAGTACCCAAAAGCTGGGACAAAACCCACCAAAAAGAAATCTAAAAACAGYGTTGATCTAAGTATGTCTGAGCCTGGTGAGCTGGTGTGCTCAAATGTCTGAGCAAGTGCCCCAGCCTCTTTGTGTTTTGGGCAGGTATACGTGCAGCTGAACTTTAAGTTGAGCTCCGTCAGAGTAACTGTGATGTAGTTTTTGCAACAACCACAAGCTTTGTGTTTTATTGTACCTTGTTTTAATATYACACCTGGTAAGTCACATATTTTAGAAAAGGTTATTCCAATTTATTCCTTACTGCTATGCTGTCAAAACCCAAAATCTCTGCCTACTGGAAAATCATAAAGCCATGTGCTTCGGGTGCTTCAATTAAACCAGTACAAAAATACATTCGATGAGGCTCTTTTTACCTGACAGCCAGAGCTGAAGATGATTCCTAACTTCAGCAAGGAATCAGCTTCCTGCAAACGGAGTTGGTGCTTAAAAGTAGATCTTAATGTGCCTTGTTAGAAACACTGTGACTCAAACAAATCAGGTGAAAAGGKTAAYTAGAGAGAAKAGTGAGTTTCTTTAGAATGTACTGYGTGGGCAATGGGGTTATTTGATCGTAACAATGTGAGTCTAGGTTCTCTCTAGTCAGATTTCTGGATTAAATCCTAGATCCTCTGTTAATTTTCTGGTGAGTCTCAGACCAGCCTGGTAAGATTCTCAGTGGAAAACTTGAGAGCCATGGCCTTTAAAGGACTCGCTTCTACATTCTACCCCRTTTCCCACACACCACCGCAGTTCTGCACTTCCTCTACTGAAGCTCCGTTGGTTTCTTCCCCTTTTCTCTCCGTGTCAGCGGGATTGGGGTGACACCAGTGACGAGCGCGGGGCGGCCCCATCGCTGGGGCAGCACCGCTCCGCCTCCGATCCCACACATGATCCCACATCCTCGCTGTGCCATCTTTACTGTGCCACCCTCGCTGTGCCACTCTCACTGTGCCACCTCCGCTGTGCCACCCTCGCTGTCCCGTCCCCGCTGTGCCATCCTCACTGTGCCACCCTCAGTGTGCCACCCTTGGTGTCCCGGCGCCTCTGTGCCACCCTCGCAGTGCCACCTCCCGGTGCCACCCTCGCTGTGACACCCCCGCTGGGACACCCYCGCTSTGCCACCCTCGCTCTGCCACCCTCRCTGTCCTGTCCTCCCTGTGCCACTCTCGCTGTCCCGTCCCCGCTGTCCCCTGAGGCGCGTTGGAACCGGCGTCACCCTCAGGTGAGGGGGCGGTGCCGCCATCGGCCCAGGGGCGGCGCGGCGCGGCGCGGGCGCTCAAAGGCGGTGCGAAGGCCCGGCCTGCCCGCCATGGAGTGCGCGGGGCGCGCTGAGGCGGCGGCCGAACAGCTGCGGCTCTACCGGGGGGACCCGGCCGGCTGGAAGGGCTGCCGCGGCACGGTGGGTTATGGGGCTGGCGGGCCACGGTGGGTTATGGGGCCGGCGGGGAAGTCGCAGTACCGTGGGCCGGGGGGCTGTGGGATCCC